GAACCCAGGAGTCCTGGCTCTCGGCCCCCCTGCTCTCACCACTAGACTCCCCTCCCCTCCCCGAGCTGGGGAGAGAACCCCGGCGTCCTGCTGCCCTGTTGGGGAGGCGTTGAGTCCCAGCACTGGGGGGGCAGGTGAGGGGCAGGCGGGGGGGTCTGGAAGACATTCTAGTGTGTGTCGTTTCGCTCCCTCGCGGGGTTGAGGGGGGGCCGGCGCAGAGTCCGACGAGATGAGACGAGACGAAAGCCCTTAGAGACGGCCAGGTGGCCATTGGGGGGGGGAGAGAGGAGGGCCAGGGGGCCACAGTGGGGGGACATGTGGGGGGCCCCCCAGCAGGGAAGGACCCAGCTTCGCAATCCCTGAAGTGGTGAGAAGTGAGGGGGGAGGACCCCCCTGGACGGAGCTTCACGCTGGGGATCACAGCAAAAAAAACAGGGGGCCCCCCTCCCGGCCACACCCCCCCCCAGCAGTCACAACAGAGGGCCGCCCACGGTCCAGAGCAGAGTCGATCCCTGTGGCGCCGACCCAGCTGCGGGGCAGGTCCCCAGCGACTCCCCAATTCTTTGGCAGCTGAGCATCGGCCGGGGGAGGGGAGCCCAGGGGCCCTGGTGTCCCCCACCCCCAATTCAGGGGGAACAGAACTTCAGAGACCAGTGAGTGGGGGGGGAGGGTTAGAAACAGGTGAGGGTCCCCCTGGCCTACAGTCCCCCCCCACCCCAGTTGGGATCACCCTCAGGAGCCCCCCCATCTTGTGCCTGTCCCCCCCCACCCTCAATCCTGCTGCTCCCCAATTCACCCCTCCCTCTTGGAGCACTAGGGATGGGTGGTTCACCCCGAACCCACGGACAGCCCAGCAAGGCACATGCAGCCCCTGACACGTGCGTGAGAAAGCGTGACCCGGTCTGTGTGGCAGGGTAGAGCAGGGGCTAGTGTGCAGGATGGTGGGGGAGGGTACGGTGAAGGTGCACATACAAGCAATGGCAACTGTCCTCGTGCAGGCAATGGTGCGAGCCAGTGCTCCAAGTGTGCACATGTGAGTGATGGTGCAAGCTAGTGCCTAGCCGAGTATGCGTGTGTGAGTGATGGTGCGAGCTGGTAAGCAGCTGAATGGGTCCATGACTGATGGCACGAGCAGATGAGCACGTGGACAATGGTGCAAGCGATCATGAGGCTGAATGTACAGACAAGCATTGGTGCAACCCCACATGCAACTAAGTGTCCACATGAGCAATGGTGTGATATGGCAGCGAGTGTGCACACACAAGTGACAGTGTACTCTGATTTTCAGTGTGCAAATGTGCAAGCTAGCGCATAGCTGAGTGTAGATGTGCAACAGATGGTACATAGAGCGTGCACACACTAGTGATGATGCAAGGGGGTGCAAAGGGGAGCGTGCACACGTGAGCAATGGTGCAAGCCGCTGCATAGGCGAATGTACACATGTGAGCAAGTATGAGATGGCAGCGAGTGTGCATGCACAAGCGACGTCTGCTGATTCGCAGTGTGCAAATGGACAAGCTAACGCCTAGCCGAGGGTACACGTTGCAACGGACGGTACACAGAGCGCGCACGCACTAGTGATTATACTGATGGGTGCACAGGTGAGCAACGGTGCAAGCCAGTGCACAAGCAAATGTGCACGTGAGCGATGGTGCAAGCCGGCGCGGTTCCCTCCCTCGCCTCCCAGCACCCTCTGCCCCCCCATGGGATTCAAGGCCCCTCTTTCCAAGGGGGGGGCATCCTGGGGGCCCCTCACTCTCTGGGGGTGGGGGGGCATCGCCGCACGGCTTCTCCTTGCTCCTGGCGTCCGATACATTCAGGCCTCTGTGTCCTCGGGGCGGCTGGGGGCTCCCCTCTCCTGGGGGCGGGGGATTCTCTCATCACCTCTCCAGGAAGAGCTTGAGGGCGCGGTCAATGTTCATGCGGTGCCCGACGCGGGTGACGCCCAGGTCGATATAATCCTCCTTGGTGAGCGAGGGCAGGTGGGAGCCGTCGATCTCGTTGTCCAGGAAGCGGTCGCGGTGCTCGCCCAGCTTCAGGTACTCCAGCCAGTCGGCCACGTCGAATTTGGTCCAGAAAGGCAGGGGCTTGGCGCCGAAGGGCTTGTCCGTGGCCGGGGGCAGGAAGTGGGTGGGCGAGAGGGAGCGGCTGCCGGAGGGGAAGTCGGGGAAGGGGCAGGGGCCGGAGGGGGGGGGGCCGCGCAGGTCGTAGATGCCGCCGTAGAGGGGGACGGAGGGCAGGATGGGCAGGGAGGAGGGCCGGGGGGCCGGGCTGATCTTGTGCTCGCTGGGCAGGGCGGCGGGGCTGGGGGCCCGGCGCAGCGCCGGGCGGATGTCGAACTCCACGCTTTTCGGGGGCTTGGCGCCCGGCCCCGCCTTGGGCCAGTTGTGGAACAGGCTGCTGGGCGGCTTGCAGGGGCCCGACGTGTCCGCGGGGGGCCTGGTGGGGGGGGGAAGAGATGGTCACGGGGTGCTCCTCCCCCCCCAGCAGTCCTCCCCCCTCCTTCACCCTGCAGAGGCCATGGCTGGACGCCCCCACGCCCCCCAGCTTTGCACGAGAGCGCACGAGCAGTCATGGGGCAAGCGGCACACTTGTGGCACACGATGACAGGGGCTCGTCTGCAGAGCACAGAAATCCACCATCTCTTGCACCCGCGTCGGGGAACGGGTCTGGCATGGGGATCTGCCGCACCTACCGCCCCCCGGCCCCGGTCCCCACCTGCTGGGACTTGGCCCAGGGCCCCTTCCAGCCCGGCTCCGGGACGAGAGTAGGGCTGGGAGCCAGGACTCCTGGGTTCTCTCCCCGGCTCTGGGAGGGGAGTGGGGGCTAGTGGTTAGAGCAGGGGGGCTGGGAGCCAGGACTCCTGATTTGCCAATCTTTGCCACGTCTTCTCCCCAAGGTTACTCCTGCGGGGTTAGGGGGTCGCACCCCCAATACCCTGCCCCACGGGTCCCCCTCTCCCACAGGTGAATTCTCCCAGTGCAGACAAGCCCTCGGACACACAACACAATGGAGCAAATTAAAGGCAGCAGCGCGGCCCTGGTGAGCGGCTGGGGAGTTGGGGCAGGAGGGGGCCTCTGTGGGTGTGCAGCGTGGGGGGGTACAGACTCCTTCGGGGGGGGGCTCAGTGGAGTCCCACGGGGGGGCTCTGGGACAGAGAGACCCCCTCTCAAACCAGGAATCGCTAGGAAACTGGGCGCGAGGCATGCCAGGATGTGGGAGGGCATGGGGGGGGCGTCAGGCGTGTGCGCAGGGCCTGACGCCCCCCAGTGCCCCCTCCAATCCCTGACCCACAGCAGCCTCCTAGGAACCCAGCCCTATGGGTGAGTGCGTGTGTAGGAGGGAAGGTGAAGGGGTGGGTGTGGGGTGGACACATGCAGCGCCTGGCACAAAAGGGTCCTGACCCGTCCCCCCCAGCCCCCAGTGCCGGGCGTGGCGGAGCGAGAAACCAAAACAAACCCCAAGCAAACATGAGTGACGGGCACGGCGGCGTGAGGCATGCACGGGGCGCCCCCGGTGGGTGCTGCTGGCTTCATCCATCCATCCGTCCTCCTCCGGACGCTACCTTTGGCGCTGCAGGGAGCCGGGCCGGTCGGCGCCGAAGGGGCCCGCGCCGTCGGGGGGCCGGGCCCACGACACCCCGCTCATCTGCTGCAGCTTGGAGCTCAGCTCGCTGATGATGCTGGCTTTCATGGCCGAGACGGGCGAGGGCTTGGCCGCCCCGCCCTCCTCCCAGGGCAGGGTGGGCGAGCGGCGCTGCGGGGCGGGCGGCTCCTGGGCCGGGGCGGGCGTGAGGGCGAAGACGCTCTCGGCGCAGGCCGCCACCGAGATGGTGGAGCTGGTGGGGGTGGCGGGGTCGCGGCGGGCGGGGAAGGGCCGGGAACGTAGCTTGCCGGGCTTCTCCGCCGGGCCGCCGAAGGCTTGGCCGTCCAAGTAGGTGACGTAACTATCCAACAGCTCCGCCCCCTCGCTGGACAGCCCCGACATGCTGGACAGGGTGGAGACGGAGCTGATGGTCTCCAGGTGGTGGTCGCTGCTGCTCCGGCTGTCGATCTCCTCGATGCCCGAGTCGGTCACCGCCTCGGGGGGCTCGGGCGCCGGGATCTGGATGGAGGACACCACCGAGGAGAAGTTGACGTGGGGGGCCTCCCGGGGCTCGGGCGCCCCGCCCTGGGTCAGCGTGGCCACCTCGCTGTCGTAGGAGGTCAGGCTGGAGGTGGTGGAGTCCAGGGCGGCGGTGGCGGGCGGCGGGGGCGGCGGCGGGGCGGGCGCCGGCTCCGGGGCGGGGACGGCGGGGGGCTCCCGGCCCGCCTTGGGGGAGTCGGGCTTCTCGAAGCTGTTGGAGAACTCCAGCGGCGGGGGCAGCGGCTCGGTGAAGAGGAACTCGTCGTCCACGTCGATGGAGGGAGCTGGCGGCGGGAGGACCAGCAGGGGCAGCCCGTTCTCCTCCACCCCCCGGGCCGGCGCCGGCTCGCTCTCCTCCCGGGGCCGGCAGTTCTCCACGAAGCGCACGTGTAGCTTCTCGCCCCCGGCCCCCTCCTCCCCTCGCTTCTCCCCTGCCCACGGGGCGCCCTTGGGCTCGGAGGGGGTCCGGCGCCGGGGGCTCTCCGGGCGCGGCTCGCCTGCCGGCGCCCCCCACAGGCGCAGGATGGAGCCGCCTCCTCCGGAGGGCTCCGGCGCCACCTCCCCAAACCGGGGCGAGGACGGGCGGGACCTTCGCTCCTCCGCCTCCGCCCGGCCTTGCTGCAGCTGCTGGGAGTGCGACTCCTGCAGCGCCCGCTCCCGGGCCACCAGCGCCAGGCCCAGGGGCGAGCCCGGGTCTAGGATCTTGCCCGTCAGCGGGTGGATGAGGGGCGGGGCGTTCCCGCCGCCCGGCCGGGGCTGGAGCTGGGGCAGGAAGCTGGAGCAGACGGTGGTGAAGGCGCTGGTGGTGCCGGCGCCCCCGTAGGCCTTGGCGGTGCGCGGCTGGTAATAGGTGCCCGGCGGCAGGGGCTGGGCGTAACTCAGCTGCAGGTAGGGCTCGGCCGAGAACATGCCCTCGTCGATGCTCTTCGAGTGCCGGAGCCGGGGCGCCGGAGCCGGCTCGGGCGCCTCGTCCTCCGGCACCTCGGTGGAGAGGAAGAGGGCGGAGCGGCGGCGGGCCTCGCTGTGCCACTCCCGGTCCCGCCGCGCCGCCCCCACCAGGGCCGCGCCGAACTGGCTGGTGAAGTCCATGCTGTTGTGGAGGGGCAGGGCAGGCACCGGGGCCGGCTCCGGCTGCCCCTCCGTCTCCATGCTGCTTCCCTGACTGCTGCGCCCGCTGCTGCTGGTGGAGGGGGCTTTGATGACGATGGTGGGGATGGCGATGGAGTTCTTCTCGGGGGCGGGCGGTGCCGGGGTGGGCGGCGCCGGGGCGGGCGGCTGAGTCTGGGGGGCAGGCCCTTGCTGCCTCTGCTCATCCTCCACCTTGGTCTGCTTCACCAGCGGGCCTTTCCGGCGCAGCGGCTTGGCCGGGACGTACATGGCGGCGCTGGCCGCCCGGGCCGGCAGGTTGTAGTAACGCAGCTCTGGGTGCGCGTGGTGCCCGCGCCAGCCCCGGGTGGGCCCACCCTCGGCCCCCCGCTCCAGCTCCTGGCGGTACATGGCCAGCTTCTCGCGCCGGGCCGGGCCCTCGAAGGCGGCCGGCTCCTGGTGCAGCGAGGCCGGGTAGAGCTTGGCCTCGGCGGCCGGGTTGAAGGTGGAGCGCACGGCGGGGGTGAGGCGGCCCGTGGCGGAAGGGGGGGCGCTGTAAGGGGGCTCGGGAGGGGAGGTGGTGGGGGGCGGGGGGATGTCCTCCGAGCCGGGGACGGACAAGCTGCGGCTGAATTTCATGGCTGGGGGAGCCAGGTAGGGCTTCTCATCCTCCACCGAGCCTGCGAATGGACAGACGGACAGTGGTCGGCCAGGGACCCGGAATCCCGGCTCCCAGCCCCGGTTCTCCAACCCACTGGGCCCCACTCCCCTCCTAGAGCTGGGGAGAGAACCCAGGAGTCCTGGCCCCCAGCCCCT